AAGAAAGAAAGAGGATAAGATAAAGGGAGGAGAGAAACGGATAGATGAGTGGTTGGTGAATGTCGGAGCGTTCTTCGGACTTGGATTCTTCGACAATTACCGGTTAAGTGAGTTTTTCTGTAATCCTACGATATCCGGGATTTCGTCGCGAGATTTTATCCAGGCATCGGTCTTATGATTACTGTCAACGCGATACTTTGACTCGAACCACTCGAATTGCATCGAATCCCTTTCTAGTCGGGGAAAATTGTGAAGATACACAATATATAGAAATAGAAGTCACGAACGAGCAGGGCTCGAAAAGATTGAAAGAGATCTGTGGAGGGAGCTATCGCTAATACCGCTGCCACTTCCGTTACCGGTTCCGTCACCGCTGCCGTTGTCGCGATCCGTTTTTCTTCTCGAATTAATTACGCAGCAGATAGGAATAGCGAGATAAAGGAGCGGCTGTCGCGGACAGGCCTTCTATCTCGTTCTAGGTCGGAATTGGTGAACGTCTTTGGCCGTTCTCGACGCCGCGCCGCAATTGAGCAACCGTGGAAGGGAGAGGCGTAGTCGAGAAGAATCGGAATTGGTTGAGAAGCAGCCGGAAGATCGAACGAGAATGAGTTCGCCGTGTGAGCGTTCCGGTTTAGCAACAAGTTGCAGCTGGTGTGCGTTTTCCCTGGAGTTTCCTAAAATCAACAAGTGAATTCGCTTCCCTGCTTGGAATTTCTATATCGCTTTCAGCTCTACAGGTGGCGATGTGAGAGGTAATATGATTTGTACGTATCTGTGTCTTACGCTTCATTATTTATATTAATCATATTATTTAAATCAGATACAGATACGCATATGTCATATGTTCAAGAAGTGGACGCGGCCTGAGACTTAACGAAGCGTGAACCATTACTGCAAAGATTAAACTCTTATAAATACACAATAAGAACCATAAGAGAATTTCAACAACTGGAAAGCTATTTTATTATGTCAGCCTACCTGATATATCTGAACCTGCCAGATCATCATATGCGTTGCATAAGTTTAGAACGCTGTCGTAATTATAAAAAAAAAGAAAAAAAATATCGTTTATTTCTTATTTCTAATAGGTAATTGATTAGATTATCATTGTTACTCTCGTATAATTTCACATTATGTGTCCAAATTTTTCAACGGAACCACCCCTCGTGTCCGATCGATCGCGCGAGAGTTGCGTGGCTAACGGGTGAAAAAAAGTTGAAGAAGGCTGGAACGTGATAAAAGCCGGTTTAATAAAGCGCGCCGCCGCCTCTACGCGTTCACATATCGAGAATTCTAGGAAAGCCTCGCGTTCCTTTCGATCTCGGCCCGCATTCCCCTCGTCCACTATCCGTCTTTTCATTCCTTCACCACCCCTTACATCTTAATCTTAATAGCGTTCTCTCACCGAATACCTCGCCATTTCTCCTTCCATTCTTTTTTCATCTATCTCGACCAAGCCATCGCTCGGTTTTATTTTTCGGCCATTTCACGCTTTCCTTTATTCTTCGTTTCCTTCTCTCCGTTAGAAATCGTGTTTCCAAATCCAAGAAACGAAAATTATCACGACGTGCACGTTGATATAT